CCTCTTTTCCAGCGAGGATAATTCTTTCAATGTTGTTGAAATATTACTCTATCCCTCCCTCTTGAGCACCAACATTTTTCCTGGACCAAGCTTTCAAATCTGTTAAGTCTCCTACTCATAATTTCCCCCTTTTATCCCTTTTCTGTTCTCAGAGAAATCTCCTTAGTCCCAAATAGACTTTCTACACAGCACACATATGCAACCTTTTCCCCCTCCCTCTGAATTCCTCCTGCTCTTGCAGTGAGAAGTCTTCACACCAACAAATCTCTTTCCAGTCCTACATAGTATGAACTCACTGGCTTCCACAGGTTATTAGAATCATGCAAGTGAAGCACTGACCTCCAAGCACTCACACAAAATGGGACTGAGTATGACTGAACCCTACTATAGCCAAAGAAAAAGAGATGCTGTGTCAGAACTGCTTGGGACAAAGTTTATGCTATGTTTAGATGTGCCTATTCATAAGTATAAATACTTGAGCTTTGAAACTATTAAAGCAGAGTATTAGAATTTATGATACAGAGGATATTTCAACATAACTTCCTGAAAAGAAAGCATCCAATGAAAAACTGCATTTGAAACAATTCAGCCAAAAGTCTATAAATATCTTAAATTGTTCAGTGTTTATAATAAAATGGTTCAGATCATCACCTGCAAGATCTTTTGTTTCCTGCATCATGCTACATATATTTAAGTAATTAAAAAAGAAAGAATATTGGGTATTACTTTCTGAGGAAGGATTTTATGGTGAAGGCTGGTGAATCGCTGGTTGTATTGGTGAGGCTGAGTGCCTCAACATACCTTCAGCTCTCCCAGGTTCAAGAAAATAATTCATTTGAGGAAATCCAGCCTTTTCCACACAATGATATTTTTAATCTTCCAGTTTTGTGGGCTCTTATGACTTTGTAGCCCACAATCAGTTCCTCAAAAATATGTTAGGTATTTTAAGCCCAACCAAATAGATAAATCAACTTGTCTTTAAATTTAAGACAGAGTCTATGTGAGATCAGTTTTTTACCTGCAGACTCTTACTTCTAGTTCTTCACCTGAAAGCCAAACCCTTGGATTTACCACAAGAATTTTTTCTTCTTTTCACCGTTGGCAGACCCACAAGCACAACAGACATTTACACAGGCATCTCAAAGCACAGTAAGAAAATTCAAGATGAGAAGCCCTTTCTGCTATGCTAAAAGAGGTAAAGCACAGTCACAAGCCTGGGTGAAAATGGTTTCCCTGGGATGGTGAAAGCCACCATCCCACCTGCAAAGTTCAGATAACTGTGGAGTAGCCCAAGGTTTCAAGCAGAGGTAAGAGCCTTGTGCTTTCTAGTGTATTCTCTTCTAGGCCATAGGGATTACTGTGTAGATATTTGGCTGAGGAGACAGGGATTTTTTCTAAGTTAATTTTTGGTACACTATTTTATCTCAACTGAAAGATGTGCAGAGGAGAGAAGTAACACCCACACTTTCAGCCAGAGGGTGGCCATAGATCTATTTCTGCCACACTAGAATCTGCATCGCCTTCTCCTGTCAGGATTATTTGCACACAGCCAGAGTACAGCCATCTCCTTGCTCTGTGGCAGCATCACTCACTAGGTGCATTTCCTCAGTATACCCAAGCCAAAGTTGTTCAGCTGTGCTACATCAAGCCAAGCTGAACTACTAGGTTGATGTTTACAGAATGGCTATTATAATGTCTTCAGGACATCATCAGTGCTCTACTAGGGCTGTTTCTCTCCAGTACACTCATTGGGTAGGTTTGGAGCTCAGACAGCTTTTGACATCATATATCTTTACCATGTTTTTCCCCTGTAGCAGTTCCTCACTTATCTAATAAAAACACTGGCAGTTACTGCACACAGATTGTACATCTTAAGGGTAAGAAGTATGCCACCTAAAATATTACAGGAAAAAAAGGAATTAAGTCATCCTACACACAAAAAGCACCCACAAGTTTTTATTTTTAATGGAAAAGGAAAGGTGACTAGCAATTATCTCCCACAGTGAATTTCTATATCTCAGATATTTTTAATGACCTTGAAGATGGATAGTTTTGGATTACCCTTAAAAGACATTTGAAAATGAGCAACTGTCCAGTCCTTTTTGTGACAGCAGGAAAAAAAAAAAAAAAAAGCAAGGAAAAACCATTTTTTTCCTGAAAGATGGAGAAAAGGAAAGGTAATTTCTTGAATTAATTTACTGTTCGGGAATAAAATCCAGCATCTACAACATGCAATAAAAAGTGGCCAAAAGCTTTGTATCAGCCCTGAATTACCATAAACAACAATTATACATCTCTTTCAAAACACAATATAACAGAAAGTGAACATAGTATTAAAGCAAAGCAAATTATAAAGCTTCATAAAGAATTCTATGCAAATAGAGATGGCAATTTTTTCCTTCAAACAATAGAAAGAACAACGGCAGACAAAGCATTTTGAAGGAATTTTCCTATTTGACATTTCATAATTAAGTATTAAGCTATCTAGTATTTGAACTATCACATTTTCCCAGTGTTGCAGAACAAAAGGCAGCTTCTGTAATAATCAAATATACATTTGTAATAATGCAATACATTCTAGTAATTCAGTTACTATTTTTCGTTAATGTTAGTCATCGTCCTGCAGTACATGGGAATACAGGATTGTAAACTTATACTGTTCCCCAGCTGAAGGAAGTGATCAGTAAAACAGACAAGGAAATTATTTTCAAAAATATAAAGAAGTCTAAACAATAAGAAGCAAATATTTATAAGTTAGTAATGGTAGATATAAAATGCAGCTTTTTTCTATTTTTTTTAATAATAAATCAGTTATGAGTCAATCATGCATACAGGTGAGTCCTGTTTAAGTAATATAAAATGAAAACAGGAAGCCATGTTTAAAAACAAACCACAAGATAATCAGCATTTCTGCATAACTGAATCACAGAATCACCCGGGTTGGAAGGGACCTCAAGGATCATGTAGTTCCAACCCCCCTGCCTAGCAGGGCCACCAAACATACACATTTAGATCAGGTTGCCCAGGACCCCGTCCAACCTGGCCTTGAACACGTCCAAGGACAGGGCATCCACAACCTCCCTGGGCAGCCCGTTCCAGGGCCTAACCACTCTCCTTGTAAAGAACTTCCCCCTAACATCCAACCTAAATCTTCCCTCCTTCAACTTGGATCCATTTCCCCTAGTCCTGCTATTGTCAGCCCTTTTGAAGAGTTTACTCCCCTCCTGGGTGTAGGTTCCCTTCAGGTATTGATAGGCTGCAATGAGGTCACCCCGCAGCCTTCTCTTCTCCAGGCTGAACCAGTTAATTAGAAAGCCTGAGTTGCTGCACATTATTTATAATGCCTTAGGTCTCAGGTAGTTTTTCTTTGAGATGTTCCCTATAATGTTCAGCCTGTGTTAAAATATATTTCCCATTTTACATGTCAAGTAGCCATGTCTACTCTTAGTACTCCTTGGTGGTCAAGCTGGTGAAAACTACTAGACTTGTTACTTTCATAGCACCAAATATCCACTTTCTCCAGAGTTTTCAAATATTTTTCTATGGTTTAGGGAAATAATAGAGCTTATTCCAAATCAGGATTCATAGAACCACAGAATTGTTTGAGATGGAAGGGACCCTTTAAGGCCATGTGGTCCAATTCCTCTGCATTGAACAGGGACACCTACAGCTCAGTCAGGTTGTTCAGAGCCTCGTCCAGCTTGACCTTGAATATCTCCAGGAATGGAGCTTCCACCACCCCTCTGGACAACCTGTTCCAATGCTTCACTACCCTTATTGTACGTTATTTTTCAGACATGTAGTCTAAATCTCCTATCTTGCAGTTTGAAACCTTTTTAGAATCATAGAATGGCCTGGGTTGAAAAGAATCCCCATGCCATGGGCAGGGTTGCTAACCACTAGCCCAGACTGCATAGAGCCACATCCAGCCTGGCCTTGAATGCCTCCAGGGATGGAGCATCCAAAACCTCCACGGGCAACATGTTCCAGTGTGTCAGCACCCTCTGTGTGAAAAACTTCCTCCTAATATTTGACCTAAACCTCCCTGTCTCAGTTAAAGACCATTGCCCCTAGTCCTATCACTATCTACCTTTCTGGATTTTCTCATGTCCAATCATAAAAATCTCTGCTAAAGGTTCTGTCCCCTTTCTTATGGCCTTCCTTTATTCTTTGGTATTATTTTATTTATGTATTCATTTTCACTTGTTCTGTGTTTTGATAAAAAGGCCTTTTTCCTTCTCCTTTTAAACTTGGCAGTGGTCAAAATAATTTTTGGGTCCATCTTCTCCAATTTTTAATCATGATTTTCAATTGAAAGTTTAGATTGGTAAATTAGATTTTTACTAATTTATTTTAAAAATATATTTTAAGTTTCATAGTGATTACTTTGGTATACACAGCTTTCTTTTCCACCAGTTTCTTGCCTAGAGACTGTGTGAAAATTTAACTTTCCGTAGTCGTACACACGAGGTAGATATAATAGGCTTCACAAGTCACCAAGCTCTGCTTGTTCTTCAGCTACTTTCACACAGCAATAACATAGTATTTACTCTGCTCTGAGATGGAACTCAGGCTCTTTCAACAATATCATAAATTTATCTCTGCCAGGAAGCTAGAAAATGAAGTCAATGGCATGAGAAACTAAAGCTGGATTCTCAGAAACACAAGAATTGATAAGAGAATGAAATTAGCCCTATAAACATAAGGAAAAGTGGAAATAAGTACATCCCCACTATTCTTGGGGAAGGAAGAAGCAAAGAAGTGAGATGGAAAGGAAAACAAAGCTGCAAAAACAATGAAGCAGGAATGTGGTCTTTGCAACATCTGGTGAAGTAGCATGGAAAGGTTGTATTCCCCCCTTTCAAATAAGCACATGCCAGTTTTATGTAAGATGTTGGATGAGAGGAAAGATGAGAATTTAGACGCCAAGAACACAGTTTCATTTTGCATAATAGACTTACATTTACCCAGTACAGAAATCCACAAACTTCCCCACTTACTGCTATAATGCTTAAAATTTTCCATCTGATGAGAAAGACCTCTGCCACTGCCTTTAGTGAAGCTCTTCACATCTTTTTCATTTCAGCTTTTGAATTTTTAACATGAAGTGGCAACCTCCCCGTTACCATTTTGGCATTGTGCAGTGTCAAGGAAACTCACGTAAAAAATATTTCCCCTATTCAGAGTACTAAGAAAGTTTTAATCCTTAGTTGTTAGTTTCCCCCCTATAAATAAAGGGAAGCTAAAGCTGTAAAGTAATACCTATGCAAGGTTTTTCAAGGAACAAGGTGGCAAAGATTAGCAATTTCATCACTTGGTTTACGCTAACATTTTACATGCAGGAAAGCTTAAAAAAAAAAAAAAAAAAAGAACTTCAGCAACTTTTTCCACCTCCTTGTCTGGAAACCATAGAAACCAAACTGAAAGTACAGCCAAGAAGTTCGTCATTTGGCTATCTCTGGCTGATCTCCATGGAAACATTTCATTTTTTTGTTGTTGTTGAAACGAAAGATTTTCGTATCAGACAAATGGCCAAAGGCTAATGGTTTATTATATCTTTGGGAAAAATTTAAAGAATGAAAACAATGCGAAGTGTTTCTGCTTTACATATCCTTATTGTATTTCTAGTTTATGTTATTCGTGCCTGTTTTATTTCAGCTATATTATCAGACAAGACATTGAATTTGGACAAAAAGAAAAAGCTATACACTGCCTGCAAACCAGGGTTTGTTCACTCTGGCATCCGAATTGTGTATTGCTTGCTGTAAATTATATAGGTCATCTGATATCTTTTTTTTTTTTTTTTCATGCTATGCCTGGAAGACAGAATAGAGACACTGAATGCATAATAACAACTAAGACAGCTGAGAAAATACTCCATATGAGCAAGCCACAATTGTCAGAGTTATTGTTTACAGAACACAGGAAGGCTTGCATCCCATCCTCTTCATAGTCTAATGTGTATTATAACTAAAACAAGCACAATATCTCTGGAAAAAAAGTTATACAGAAAATGGATAAAAAGTCTGCTTCCATACAACTCAAGGCATTTAATGAGACCATGGAAGTAGTTTGGCTCTTAGAGTATGTGCCCACCAGCATGATTCTGATAGAGGGTGGAAAGACCTGAGGATCCTACAGGGGCTTCAGAGTGTAAGATGGATGCAAGCACCTCCATCATATTTCCTGCCTAGCCACCTATATCTTTGTTATGATCAGGCCCATAAGATTAGGGATAAAAAAAGGCCATTGTTCATTTATGCCTGTGATGCATATTTTTACTTTACTACTTGGGATTTTCTACAACACGTGATGACTTTCTAGATATTTTTAAAGAGTATGCTATGTTTTAAGTAGAGCATAAGAAGATTCTGTTGAATTATTTCACTGGTAACGTGGGTAGGCATTACAGTTACTCTTCTTAACTACGTATTTAGCAGTGGAGATTAAAATTTGTTGTTACAAAGTGATGAGGCACTCAAACATAATTAAACTTGTTTGTTCTTACACAACTTCAAGTCATGTTCCACTCCCATAACTTCTTCTTTTCTCCTTACACAGGTATCATGCAACAAAGGTGAGCAAAGGGCAATATTTGCTAACACAAATGCTTGCAAAAACTCCACCCCCTAAGGAATCTTTGGCAATGAAGTGCAGAAAATACTGATACCATGTTAGTTCACACAGAAAAACAAAGAATGCATAACCATCCTAGCATAATATTATTCTGTTTATCATTATACAAAGCAAAACAAACAACACACATAGCTTGCAGTCTTGAAAGTCTCCCTAGATTCCTCTGATTCACAATACAATGAAAATGCATTCCAACATCATTATTATTGTATTAGGTGTGATTAACTAATGCTTAGGGTCTTAGGGTAACCAGCAGTCTACCTGGAAAGAAATAGTGACAACAGAGATTAACGTAATGGAAATATTGCCAGAGATGAAGAGACATCATCTGAATTCAGTGGCAAACAAACTGTTGTTGAACAAAGGATTGAAAGTGTGCTGATGCTTCCTGAAATTTGAAAGAACATCAGAAAAAAATTGTGATGAATTATAGAGACAGAAGTAAACAGAGCAGCAAACTCAAGGAAGTTATGAAAGAATATTCATAAAGAGAAAGTGACAGGCAAGATATGACTGCTGGAAGTTTTGTCTAACATTTGAAGTAAAATAACTGCCCAGAGAATGGAGGAAGAAAAAGGTCACATCTGTCATAGCTTGAGGAATTTACCTACAAACATGAGAACAAAGACTTGCATAGAAAAAGGTGGCAGAGTTTTGTTCAAATTATTCTTATCTTCTTAAGAAGTATTCAAAATAATTTAGTTCCCACCTGGATTCTCTATATATGTACATTTCAACATTTACCATCTGAGAAATTGATTGCAAGATGACATTTTTATTAAAACTCTTTTAATACCAGAACATAATATAGTATCTGTTATGCAAAATTAATTATACTACTACTACTGTCAGTACTGACTAAAGTCAGTAGTGTAGATTGTTGCCCTCATTGCAAATGAATATACTGTGTAGTTATCAATTCTTTAGGCTACTTTATCTGTAAGGGAAGTTGGAGGGAAGGGCATATATTATAATTTTAATTAAGCAGGTATAAAATACTGGCATTTTTCCATCTTTATTCTCCTTAAAGCTTGTTATGTGTTACTGTTCTGTTTTAGATTAATGCTTAAGCACTCAAAATAAATAACATGCTTGTTAGATGATTACTTGGGAGAAATTATTGGTGCTTAGGGGGATCAGCTCCCCCAAACACAAGAAGAAATATGAACATCTAACCAACAACACTAAGCTTGAAAAACTGTCTCATGTTCCAGTGAATTAAAAGAAGGGTTGAATACATGGCATCCAGCTTTTTCTGCTCAGCACAGCTAATGGATCAGCATCCCACAGAATATCCTGAATTGGTTGGAAGCAATCCAGTGGAAAAGAATAATCAGAGGGCTACAAAATGTCCTATAGGGATGGGTTGAATCAATGGCAGTTACTTGGTTTGTAGAGAAGACAGCTATAGGAAAGCAATAGGGACCAAAAAGTCTTGCAACAGACAAAAGCTCCTTGTAATGAGAAGCCATTCATATGTTTTCTGCATCCATCTAAGGAAAATCAAGAAATAATGAACTGCAACTAAAGAGCTTTGAGCTAGAAATCGAGAGAAATATTTCCAGCATTAAGCACTGTGATAGATTTCCTAGTGAAAGTAGTAAAATCTCGATCACTTGCAGTTTTTAAGAGCACTTCATACAAATGTCTGTAGATAGTATTTATATGCAATCAGTTCTGCCTGAGGGAAAGGAATTGGCTAAATCAGAGTTTCTCTGTTTCTTTCTTAAGATCTGAGCATAGAGCAAGATCCCATCCTTTCCTTAGCCTGGAAAGTCAGGCAGGAACTGATCAGTTAGGCAGCTAAATTATTTTAGCTGCACCAGACTGAACAAGCTCCTTGGGTTCTTTAGCCTTATTTCCAGCAGTTTTTAGATGAAGGGAAACTGGAGGCACAGAATCACAGAACTGTAGGGGTTGGAAGGGACCTCCAGAGATCATCGAGTCCAACCCCCTGCCAAAGCAGGTTCCCTACAGCAGGTCGCACAGGTAGGCATCCAGGCAGGTCTTGAACATCTCCAGAGAAGGAGACTCCACCACCTCCCTGGGCAGCCTGTTCCAGTGCTCCGTCACCTCACTGTAAAGAAGTTCTTGCGCATATTTGTGTGGAACTTCCTATGCTGCAGTTTCCAGCCGTTTCCCCTTGTCCTGTCTCCACTCACCACTGAAAACAGACCGGCCTCGCCATTCTGCCCCCCACACCTTAGATATTTATAGACCTGGATCAGGTCTACTCTCAGTCTTCTCTTCTCAAGGCTGAACAGACCCAGTTCACTCAGCCTTTCTTCATAAGAGAGATGCTCCAGGCCCTTCACCATCTTTGTGGACCTCCGCTGGACTCTTTCCAAGAGATCCCTGTCTTTTTTGTACTGGGGAGCCCAGAACTGGACACAGTACTCCAGATGAGGCCTCACCAGGGCAGCATAGAGGGGGAGGATCACCTCCCTTGACCTGCTGGACACGCTCTTTTTAATGCATCCCAGGATGCCATTGGCCTTCTTGGCCACAAGGGCACACTGCTGGCTCATGGCCAACCTGTTGTCCACCAGGGCACCCAGGTCCCTCTCTGCAGAGCTCCTCTCCAGCAGGTCACCCCCCAATCTGTACTGGTGCATGCAGTTATTCCTGCCCAGATGCAAGACTCTACACTTGCTTTTGTTAAACCTCATCCATTTTTTTACTGCCCAGCTCTCCAGCCTGTCCAGGTCTCACTGAATATCAGCAAATTGATTTTGATTAAGCAGATTTAGGAAATCCTTAAGCATTCTGTTTGGCATAACTTTTTGAAGGTTTAAAAACCTTCTGTGTATTTATTTTAATTTTTTTCCACAGGGCAGTTTAAAGCACGTTTCATGCAGGTGTATTTATATAACTTCCTGCAGAGTCACTCCCCAAAGGCTACACAGTGCAGATGCAAATTTTCCCTCTGCTGCCTCAACAGCTTTCCTCACCTGCTACATTCCTCTTCAATAAACCTGATCCATTTTGTGTCTAAGTCCACCCTTACATTAAGAACTTATTTTCTTTAATAAAAAAAAAAAAAAAAAAAAAAAAAAAAAATCCTCTTGACTTCTCTTGGTGCAGCTTGTAATAGATTTGCATCTGGAATCACTGTACCATATTCTTACACCATTTTACAGCAGGAACTGCTAAGTACTTTGGCTTGCTTACAAATTCCCCAATTTACTAAATATAATTGCACTGTGATTCATGTCTTCGCTAAATCTAAGCAAGTTGTAGGCATGATTTTTTAGCATCAAATTAAGCCTTAGAACTAAAAAGATTAGCAATTTTTTCCCCCGGACTTTGACACTTAGCATATAAATTACATTGTCAAAGTGATTAAGGAAAACAAAGCACAATTATGACAGGATTTTATTTTATGAACCACTCCAATTTAAAGAGTCTAGCAATAGTTATGTGGCAAATTATAGCGTAATCTCAGCATTTGTTTGTCTTTGGAACAGCATAAATCCAGCA